TTTTTTTTTTTTTTTACCACCCTCAAGTGAGAGCATTTTTCTCGCATCTAACCCAACTTTTCCTTGCTGTAACTTGAGACCATTGCTCCTTGTTCTATGGTCTGTCATCACTGAGAACAGTCCAGCTCCATCCTCTTTGGAGCACCCCCTTCAGGTAGTTGAAGGCTGTTATAGGGAGAACTACTTCTCCTCCTACCCCATTCCCTGTCCTCTCTCCACTCCTTACCTTGTAAGGGTTTGTGTCAATTCTTCCTTTTTACTTTTGGCCAGAGGCAAGGCATGAATTCACATTTCACTTTTTAGGGCTATGTTTTCCATGAAAATAGAAGGTTACAATGCAAACTGCCTTGCAACCTGTGCTACAGAAGTGGCAATGTAATGACCACAATCATTACTTAGATTTTAAAAGTATATATGTAATTAGCTTTGGAATTGGTGCTCTTCTGAGAGGATTAAAATCCCATATCATCTGTGTGCTTTGTGTGCGCTTTTGGAGTTTTAGATAGCCAGAAAGACACAGTTTTAAGGGGAAGGGGGTTGTACACAGAAGAGCGGATGATCTAATAATGTATTCTGCTTTTGTCCTTTAGCTCATCTACATTGGTTGCTCATATGCCACTGTGTACCTGATCTACATGAAATTTAAGGCTACCTATGATGGAAACCATGATACATTCCGAGTGGAGTTTCTGGTGGTCCCTGTTGGTGGACTCTCGTTTCTTGTTAATCATGACTTCTCTCCTCTAGAGGTTAGTTGAGTGTGCAGGTGTCCATCCCCAGTACTCTTAAGATGGTTTGTTAGTTTTCTGTAAATATGCAGCTTTATTTAAAATATATTTTAACTTGCTAGAAATGTTTGGATTGTGAAAAAATAATTTTAGGGCATATTTGGAATAAGAAGTGCTTCTAAAAGTCTGTTTTTGGAATAGGTAGATCTGTTAGACTTAGACTTCAGCCCATACTTCTAATGCACACAGTCTGGACCTGAGAGAGAACTTTAATTTGTGTAAAGACAACAGTTCAAAATCTGTTCTAATCATTTGGGACACTAAAACCAGATGCCATTTAATTCTTTTAGTGTACAGAAGGATACCATGTTCCTAATGTATACTGGTGGTTGCAATGTTAACCTGGCAATATTCTTTCCTTCATGATGTCTTCTGGGCCTTTTTAAACTTGCCAGCGTGGCTGTTGGCAAGTATTGGGTGCCATCTGGTGAAATCAAAAAGAATTGCAGAAATTTTGAATTGTATTACTAGCATCTGATGTACATGGAGGAATTTATAACCACATTGGAAAGATAATAACTTTACTACAATTTATTAGGACTGAATGTAAATGTAAGGGACCTCCATACTTCAATGCAGTCCTGTACTACCAAACACCTTTATGTGTGTGTTTTCTATGGGGTGAACAAGAAGCTTGCTAAATATTGGAAAGTTTGATAACTTTTTTGTTTTTTAAAAAAATTAATCCTAAACTAAACAAAACTGACTTAAATCTCAAGTCAGAATAAGATTTAAAATGCTAGGCAGCTTTAAAAAAAAGAGAGGATTGCCCACGTAAAACTTTAATTGGGGCATTATTTCCATTTTGCCTGCTTGCTTTTATCTGGAAAATTCATGTGATTTGGTTGAAAATGTCTTTTTTTCCCCAATTAAAGTAGATAAGAAACCACCATTGGTAAACTGAAGATGTTCTTCCTGCTTTTTAGTAATTGGGCCTGATCTTTAGGGGTGCACCAATTTTAAAGATTGAGGTGTCCACAGTGAGGGAGGGAGTGGGGCAGGGGAAGGCACTGCCTAGCCAGGACAGAGTAGGGTGAAGCACAGAGCTGTGGCTTGTCTGAGGGATGCGGAGTAGGGCAGGAGTGGCTCCCACTGCTGTATGCACCCCCAAGGGAGGCATGGGGGGCACGTGCCCCCCAGATCTGCACAGGATGAGGGCAGGATGCTTGCTGTGTGCTTGGGACTGGAGCTGCTCCAGGTTCTTCCTGATGGCTGCGCTCAGGCTGGGTGGGGTAGGCAGCAGTGGCACTCAGAGGGGGGTCTATGGGGGGGCTAGAGCCACCCCAAAATTCACTGTAGCCCCCCTTCCCAGTGCTGCTGCCTGCCCAGCCTGAGTGCAGCTGACGGGAAGAGGCTGGAGCACCCCATGCATAGATCCTGGGGGGACACCCCCTCCATGCCTCCCCTGGAGGGGTGTGCACAGTGATAGGAGCTGCCCCTCTCTCCTCTCCCACCCCCACGGCCCTGGATGAGCATTGGCTCTGTCCCATGCCCCACTCCACTCCACTCCACTCCAGCTGGGTAGTGCCTCCCCCAGCCCTACTCCCTCCCTCACTGCTGGGGCCTCGATCTGCTCCCCCACCCACATCCTTTCCATTCCCCACAGACTTATCAGCTGGGTGCTACTGTCCAAGCTGCCGGGCTACACTCCTGGCCACGTGCATGCTGCGGCTGCACGCATGCATACAGCATTTATTGGTGACCTTATCAGCCACATCAGCTAAAAAAAAGCCAACTGCCGATTTAATGTCTATTTTATCGGTGATGATACGATATGGACCAATGTATTGGTGCACTTCCACTGATCTTGTACTAGTTGAAATTAATGGTAGTTGAGCTTCTGACTCGATGTAAACCACAGCCTTAACTGAGTGCCACTAATTCCTAACTGAACAGGTCATCAGGACTGACCCAAGCCATCAGCAGGCTGCTGCTGCTGGCTCACCAGAGCTGATTTGCAGTTTTCCATTTGTCTTGTCTGAAAAGTTTGTCTAGAGCTGTGGAAAAGCAGGACTCTTCAGAGTGTGTATCTGTTGAAAAAGTGATGAGTCAAGCTAAGTGTCTCCCTTGCTCATGTATATGAGGATGGATTATCAACAGGGACACCGAACAGTCTTCTCTCTCCTTTCAGATTTTGTGGACCTTCTCCATCTATCTTGAATCAGTTGCTATCCTCCCCCAGCTTTTCATGATCAGCAAAACTGGAGAAGCAGAGACCATCACTACTCACTATCTTTTCTTCTTGGGTCTCTACCGTGCCTTGTACTTAATCAATTGGATTTGGCGCTATTATTTTGAGGGTTTCTTTGACCTTATAGCTGTTGTTGCTGGTGTGGTCCAGACCATTCTTTACTGTGACTTCTTCTATTTGTATGTAACAAAAGGTAAGTAACTCTCACTTTAGGATTACATTGCTTACTCTGTGGGTGTCAGGCATAAGAGAACTAACTCTTTCTCTTGGATCATCAGTATAGACATGTTAAACTTATTAATACTGCTTTGGTAGTTTGTCATATAAATTGTCTGAGTTCTAGTACGAGTAGAACTATGGTAAGTATAATCATCAGGAGCCTATGGTGTACTTAAAACTAATAAGGTCCAGTATATTCACAGTACACCTTTTCCTTGGAATAGCCAGGGTACCCATCCTTTTCTGGCCACACATGTTGTCTTGTATAATCTGTCTTGTATGCCTAAAGAGAATTTTATTGACATAGACTGAAGTTGGTGTAAAATTAGCCCAGCTTTTCCATGTTGTCAAAAGTTCTAGTTCTGGTCCAAAGAAGCATGTTTGTTTTTGAGTAGAAAGAAAACCTCCACCAAGAAATAGGATTTAGTGGCTACTTTATCTAAATTCTAGAAGTCAGCAGCCCTACAGAGCTATTAACTGGCCTGCCCCTTTCTCATGGTTGCCCCCCCCCCCCCCCC